TTTCGTGTTCTGCTGTTTTGGTCCTTGGCAGATAAGGGCAGCACCCATAAGATAACTCAAGCTCTTTAAAAGCTTATCGATAGTCGTCTTGATAATCTGCGTTATTCCAACTGTTCTCTATAAGTGCGTTTGCAATTAACATTCAAAGTTTCCATTTTGCATATCTAAACAGATTGACGTTCTATTTACTGGCAACACGATCGAGTGCATCGCCTTGCACGTGACTGCGGTTACTATGAAATTTCATTTTCTTGGACAGAAAAAGGTTGCACGTGGAGGTAATTCATTTTTATGATGAACCCCCGTTTTAGCTGTAAACACGACTTTGTATAACTTTTCACTATCGCTGCGGATCATTTGATCGGTGGTTGATTTTAGATGCAAACTGTTGCTTTGTTGCAGCGGGCATCATCACTTTCACAAGAAGAAAAGGGAAAGTCTCAGTGGCGCCCGCTCCCTTGCGGTCAGATTAGCTCAGGCTATCGGCCGGCGCTAATTCCTCTTGTTTATTTCATTTCACACTAATGGTTACACACCAATCTGCCGATTTCACTGTTAACATTGCACTTTTAAGAAAATTTCACTTGCCATTGTCCGTTGCAGATCTTTCAAAAGAGCCTTTGTTGTGAAATGCATGTGATGTGAATTTCACTAATAATTATGTAACACTGTAAATGTGGTTTACGATTATGACTGATTGCATAACAAATAAAGATCATATCAGCATCACGTTGCTTGATTTTATCGCAATCAATCTCGTTTGGAGATGCTTTCGATCCATGCTTGTCACTTCTGTTTTACATTGTCAAATTACATTGTTCACAGATGTCGTTGCAATCGTGTTCGTTTTCTCTATATTTTGCTGCTGCCTTGTAAAAATGGACGTAAAATTAAGAAATGTTATTTTCCTCCTTTTACTCTTTATATCATGTTGCCAGGGCGATATACCCATTAACTTTTTCTGCTCAATTTATACTCGATTCATGTTTTTTTTTTGTTTTGTTATAATCCAGTGTTTTGATCGGATTCAAAGAGATTTTAACAGGTCATTAACATTTGTAGTTTTAAATAAATTTTCGCTTTTAACAATCTGAATACAGATTTTATTTGTTTATTTTTATCTATTATGTTTGCGTAAAAGTTGTTATTGGGAAACATTAACTTATCAATCAACATGAAACAAATCAACAGAGGCAGACTAGTGCCAAGTACCTCTAATTATTGCATAAGAAATCCCAGCAGATTAACCTTTGTTCTTAATATATGATGCTATCAGGTCATGATCTAAATATTTTGTCATCAATATAGTCAATATAGCCTTAATAAAATATAACTTATTTTCATATAGCCTAATTTTATATATTTATTTTGATACGTATTATAACACCAAAACAAAAAATAAATTATATAATAATACAACTTTTGGTATTCTCTCCATTCAGTAATAAAATAAAGCATAGGTACTGTCAAAATATATAATTTAAATGTAAAACTACTTTAAATGTCATGTCATTTAATAACATAAAACAGGCAGCTGTCTGACATAATGAGATTAAAAGAGCAACTTTTGGTATTGTAGAGCTACTAGATTTCCCTGTAGAGAGTCTAGACTGCTTTAAATAGGATAAGAGACATAACTACAGAATTAGTGAACAGCTTGTCAAAGTAATTTGTCAAGAACAATGTAATGTTACTGACAGAAATGGAATTGTTCGGTGTGGTTAATGTCGATCAGCTGTCGGTTCTCGCAACGATGCGTCTCTGTATGATAGGAGATAGTGCGTGTCCGTACCAACTGCATGCGTAACTTCACTTGCGTAACAGACGCTAACACAGTATTCATATCTGTTCGATACACCTACCATACTCACTACTATTTTATTAGTACCACTACTCTTATTAACACTCCATCAGTTTCTGATTCCAATCCAGAAACTTACGCAATATTTTTTGTTTACCTACTCTCACAACACTTGCCACTTAAACCATTCCGACTGACATCTGCCTCCTTTATTTGTTTACTTCAAAACAAGTATCAAGGGACTGGAAAGTTTATAAGGTGAAGGGTCGGAAAAAATCTCCATGATGCTGTTATGCAAGGCCGTTTGCATCCTCTGTGATGTGCATACGTAAACCTGTTGCGTATTACTGACTTACTTGTTGCGGTTACTTTTACAAATTGCACAAACGGTTGCATGCATCAACTCCTTATCAGCCGAGCCAAGAAAAAGAAAATATTTTAACGCACTTCCGTAAACTTCCGTTGGTGATTGAGTAATCACGCGTTTTATGCGTGACACTTGGTCGATTAGCGAGGGATCTCATCTCGCATATTGATTGACGCGTTGCCTTGACGTGCTACCATGGCGCCACCCTACAAAACCGCCCCTTTCACGCAAGGACGTCGGGAATAGGGACGCGCGCATACCCGCTACTACGCTCGGGGTCTACATTCAGTGTGTACGGCCCCATCGCACAGGGAGCACGCTTTCTCTCGTCACCGCGCTAAACTGACCCGCGAAAGTGCCAAAAAGTGTTTTTCTGAATTAAACTAAACATCCAGTGCGCTGGAGGACTCTCTGAAACACCATCTGTAAGTACTGCATTGTTTTGTACAATAACAAAACCGATTCTTAAACTAGGTCAAGCTTCCGCGTCCTCGGCCCGAAAGATTTTTTTTATTTATGAATGGGTGTACTGTACTTCTACGCTAACTAGCATATTACGAATAATTATTATATGGAGCAAATTATGTAGCCAGTGGCATTTGACGTGTAAGTACTTTAAATACTTAAAGTAATCCCGATTGAACTAGCAAAGGTGACGTCATCACCCTTGCAACGGGCGCCATGGATACGGTCATGGGGTGGTTATTCCCATTCCCTGTCATTGATTATTAAAACTATGACAGTAGGATAACACACGAATGGTTTTATACTGCCATAAGTCTCTAGTAAACTTTTCTTTCAGCCGATTTTAAATAAATGATAAGACAATATCTTTGCAAATCGTTTAATAACAATTTAATGTAAATTGACGATGATAATAACCTGTAAAATAGTGATACATAATTGAACTCTTAAACAAAGCACATAACGACGACAGCGAACAAACAGTTACTCCAAACAAAAGAAACTTGTCCAAAGCACTGGTGGCTTAATTTTTTTGTGTCACGTTATTTTGTGGGTGGCTCATAATTTTATTTATTTTAAAGTGAACTGTGTTATATTTGATATCTAAATAAATAAAACATTAATTGAATCCCCTTAGCCATAAAGAAAATAAAGGATAGGTCAGTAACCGTACACAATAAAGGGTCATTAAGTTCTTCTGCCTTTTACAGCTTCCGTATGGCTGTAAGCAATGGGGCCCTATATTTTTCTGTAATTCTGAGATCAACATAAAGAAAGTTACAATTAATGATTAATCCAGGAACTCGCAATACTTCCTCTTCGGTGTTCTCAATTGTGTACGAGTAGGAACTATAAGGCCTTGCTGATGATTACGCTTGGATAATCTCGAATCTAATCTCGTTCCCTCTCATTCAGAGAAAGTTGTTATCGCAGGACACGCGCAGCCCGTCGACCGTTCCTTGTGTATTAATTTATTAATACTTCTACCTGACTGCGTAGTAATTACACAACGCATTTATCACTTCATCTACTTACACCTTTATTCCTAAACATCGGACTATAACTGTGGTTTTACGATATTCATTTTTGTAGTTCAGTCACTCTGGTTATTTGCTCCCGATCAGGCAACACAGCTGTCGTCCGCCAAAAATAAAATTTGTTTTTAAACGCAGCTGTAAACTGCAAACGGTTGCTTAAGAACTTCGCGTACATCGACTTGCCGAAAACCAGATCTCTATTTGGAGCATTCATTGAAAAGTTTAAATAATTCTCATCCTTTCTTTCGAACATGTCTTTATTCGTTCGATAATAAGACAAAGGAAAATTAAAAGTTGACGCTTGAAAGGATTACTCACTGTTGACACGTTCTATTTTTGTTCAAACTCTTACGTAACAAATGTGTGAACACAGTTTAAAAAATCATGCATTATTTATGCCTATCAGTATCTAGAACATAATTATTTCAATTTCGCCATACAAAATATAGTTGCGTGTTTTCACTTGTGATTATAGTGGTGGTGTGCTCGACCGTCCACACTTCCTGCGCCGCCGGGTGCGGCGTCAGGTGGTGCTATTTCTACCACTCCATGAACCGTCCCGTTTGAAAATTCACGTTCAAAGTCGAATATTTTAAAAACCGGAACGGAACTTGATTTGTTTTTCGTATTATGATTCAAGGATTTTGTTCTCGGTTACATACCTCGAATTTCTTTGACATGTTTGTTTACACACGCTCGACATTCAATCTTCCTGATTCGTTCTACAAATAAAATATAATTCCAGAAATTTATTTTCATTTCGTTATCTGCCTTGTATGTACTTGTACCAATTTGGTATCGCCTGCGTAGCTGTGCCCCATTTAATTTAGTCCAGCTCTTCGTTTCGAAGCCGAACAAAGCTCGTATGACCCCGTTTCCCCTCGCTGCTATTGTGATCTGCTGCAACCGGCGACCTACATTTGCCATTGTTCATTGCAGTCTAATTAATGAATCACCTGTAAGTGTCTTAAGTTAAATTATCAAAATTCTTAATGTTAATCCATCAAAATTCGATTCGATTATCACTACCACATTTATTATACATATACACCCATTTATTATGGACTACATGTGAAAGTGCAAAACACAGAGTAACTAATCGTATCAAAACGTGCGTACAGTGCGTCCCGAAGATCCCGCCTAAATATAAACATGTTTATTCTGTCTCACATACACCACCTTGCGCGCTCATCGGGCACTTATAAAAAGCGGCGGCGAGGTCAAAGCATCGCACGCCGGCCGACAGTGTGGAACCCGCACGCGCGTTGTAACGACGCTTGTATCGATATCGATGCTTTATTATCACGTGCAGCAGTGACGTCACGTGTGTATGCAACGGCCGAGCCAATGGCTCTTGGCAAGTTGGCTGCGATTGATTGAGGTGTACGTCTTCACTAGTGTGTGTAGCGCGGTTGAGTCCAAACGTGTCCGTATGGTGCAAAAGTTGATGGCGGAGTTGAAGGTGCTCGTAGGGCAACGAGCACCAGCAGGGGGCGCGGCGCCCGCGCCGTCGCCGTCGCCCCCTACACAACAACAGCAGCAACAATACACACGAAGAGATCTCAAGCAGAATCTGCATAGACACATGAGTATTGTATTAGACAGGTCAGTAGTGACGGCGCATAACTTTCGACTTCGCTCAATCTAACTGAGCTGTGTGTTAGCACATAACAAACGCACACCTATTTGTAGCAGTTGTTTTGATATAAATATTAATTATAGCGCCCGATAACATGCTAGCAGTAACAGATAATGATATCGATAAGGACAAGGTACCTAGACATGATAAGTGAAAGCATTTTTCACACCATACGATTAACTTGACGTTTTATCATGGTGTAAACAGGCCGTTTTCTGAACACTGCGGTCGACCATAACGTCGATACTATTGAATATTTTATGACCGTTTTATATCTTTGCCATCGTGTTACGGACGATATCATCCAGCACCGCAAATTGATGCTCAATTTTCAACGTTGTTGACGCTATGATTGGCTTAAATATCTCTATTAAAAGTCTCCTTACAGTAATTACTTATTTAAGGATATTAATCGTCAAATTGACGTCAATAAAGATTGGCCAATTGCGAGCTACATTTAGTCTTAAAATGTATTTTAATAACAAAAACGACCATAAGTTTGGTAATCGCGCATTCAAAATGTTTAAAGTCTTAATTAATCCGACTTTAAATTAACACTGATGTTTATGTGACCTTAAACTTCATGAATACACATGGAGATTCCAAGGTCGTGTGTGCGTCCATAATATTATTACGAACAGTTTCAATGTTGTCAATAAAAGTCAGACAGCTATTATAATGGAAGAAAGTGCATTGAAACATTTGCCTTGATTCCCACACTAAGTAATAACTAAGAGCTCCTTTATGTCATTGTTGTTCAACAGTTACTATGGCAATGTTTGCTTTTACTATATTTAGCGATATTTGTTATGATCAATGTAACAAAAAATAATACTTAGAATTTTTAAGCAAACAAATTCAATTAGCTTATTCGGATTTGACACTAGTTGAAAAGATATACGCGTATATTTATTAGAAGATTTGGTTGACGAAATTAAGGAAACTTGTTTTGATAAATTTGCACATTGTAGCATCAGCATACAGCATTTATTTATTAAATCAAATTAACGTAAATCCTCATCTTTCTCATTCCAAATTAAAGCTTATCGAACAGCTGTTACAAGTTAAATAAACAGCTCATCATCTACCTGAAAACGTTTGTTAATTGTTAACATAGTGAGCATCAGACAAACAAGACCGGCCATCTAATATCTTCAAATTACTTAAATATACAGGTTTTAGGAAAATATAAAAAAAAAACAATATAAACGATGTAACTGAACCTTCCAAGTAGAACCTTCCGCATCGTTGACCTATTATAGAAATATTTGACCTATGGGTTGGTAAATATGATAAACAAAAGCAGATTTTAAAAGTCAACCATTCATAAAATATAAGAATAACGCTACGTTCCTCTTAAATCATTTACAGTTAGATGCTAACCAGACTACAAGCTTACCGGATGAGATATTTCTTCAATGTACAGTCCAAACGAGGTTGCATAAATTTTTCAATGACATTGGTGGATCAAAAATAGGACCCACAAAGATGCAGAACTAGATAATATTTCCAAGACGAAAATTAACATCAATATCAAAGAAAGTTTAATCATCTAAAGCACATATTTGCGATATGCATACCCTGAGACTAGAACGGATGCACCCAGATCTTCACTGTCAATATTTTACTCGCTTCACTAACATCCTTGTGCAAATGTTTGCTCACAATCATGTTCTTTATCGTATAAACACAGAAGCACCTTTTACACGTGGAATCTATTTGAGTGCTACTCCACACCAACTACTCATATAATTTTAATATTCAGTACTTCTGAAAGTACCCTGCCAAAGTGCCAACTAATAAATTGTCTCCACTTTTCATGTCAAACAAATATTTTCTTTAACTCTTTTGTCGTCTAGCAATCTTTATACTCCATCGGTCTGCTTCGTTGATACTTGGTTAATTAGTTCCACACTACCGTTTTTGTGCTCACCAATTGGCGCTACTGAAGCATATAATCCTGTTTCTTCGACCATCGTCAGTACTCAGTAGTTGTCAGTATAATCACATTAGCAAATAGCACATTAGTTTTTTTAAGTTGAATTTTACGGAATTGAGCGTTCCTAAAATGACAACTGTTGCCGAAAACTGAACACGACTGAATGAAATGCTATCGAACAATAAATTTTAGAAATCCGCCTTAGAATTAGTCAGATAACAAGAGACTTAACGAAACTTGTAATTGAGTAACGTTTCAGTATTCAGGTTTTACCCTCTAAAGACCCAGCTTTAAGTCCTTATTTTGTAGTTCCTTTGCTTTCAAAGTACGGATTAATAAAATTACTTGGTGAGAGTGACCCTCCTCAGCGGACTAAATTGGTTTAGTTTCCATGAACGCGTTTATACACCAAGCTTCAGTCGGCTCGTGGATAAGATTCTTCTTGCCTATTTTCTGTCTGCTTTAGATCTTGTTGAGCCTTTTGACGTCATAGCTAGGTGGATCAGGTAACAAGTGGACTTTATAATCCACCTTTGATCTTCGCTATAGCACTTATGTGTTGCTGTTTATAATCATTATCTACATTTTGATCTAGACTTACGTCACCTACTGTGTATCCGTGTACTATTTCTCTTTTAATTATGCTACAATTTAGCTGTCGACATTTATCATGCGGTGTCATTATCATTATTGACCTGTTTGTAATGACATACAAAGGAAATATTATTATAGCGTTATGTAAAGTTGTTTTGTTCAAGCACTCCTTTGTACTTCAATTTTATCTGTTTCTTAACTCTTGAAATGCGAACTTTAAGGACATTGGCGATGAATGTTCATATTTTTTCCCCGATGGGGCTTCGATGTAAAAAGAAAACTTCTTTGATATATCTGTTACTTCTAAACCTTTTTCATCAAGGTTTTTGTCAATACGATGATGCAAGTAAAGTTACTTTAGCAACACCAGGTATACCCAGTAAGATACTTAGGACAAATTCTGAGAATTAAAGTGCCATCCTGCTTGACAATTACTACCGTGACGAGAAAGTACGAAAAAGAAGTAAGGAAACCCATAAAGGAAAAGCCCTAGGTGCGAAACACTGAGTTTAATAGAATAGATTTTGAGTAATGAAGGAACCTGTACCAGGAAAATATTATTTCAGTTTATATCTCAAGGGAAATACTTACTTATCCGGTCGGGATAAAACGTTGCCCATTTCCTTTTCCTTGACGTAAGCTATCCGTTTATCGCTCCATCGAGACTAGGTTCAGTAATATCAATAGATTTTCATATTTCTTAGATCTATTTATTTATTTATTTATTTATCGGTTTATGCACAACACACAGACAGTACATAGGAGAACACATATATAAATATTTTGGAGGTACATAGGTACTACATATTCCCGAAGGAATCTCTTCCTGCAGTCCTTCGACAGGAAAAACGGAAAAAACAGAGACACTGTGCGTAACATGACATAATATGTATTAAATAAATAGATCACAATAAAATACATAAACCTATACATACATATGATCGATACACATCAAATAATACACATATTAGAGTATATTACAAATAAACATACAAATATATATATATATATATATATATATGACACTAATTTGAACAAGATGAGGAAAGGTAGTGCTCCCTTACGAGTCTTTTAAAGATTGGGATGGATTTAGAATCACGGATATTAGGTGGTAGGGAATTCCAAAGTCGCACTGCATGAACAGTGAAGGAATAGGTGTAAAAATCAGTATTGTGTGAGACAACAGAAAGATTAGATTTAAGATGAGATCGGGAAAGAGCCTCAGGAGGGCGGGCAAAGGAAAAACGTTCACGAAGGTAAGAGGGATAATCGGGATTAAAAAGTATATTGAAAAGAAGACATAAGATGCGAGTGTTCCTGTGAAGTCGGATTGGGAGCCACTTGAGCCTTTTGCGAAATTCCGAGATATGATCGTACTTTTTTAAACCAAAGGCAAAGCGTATACAGACATTTTGCAAGCGCTCAAGTTTATTTAGAAGCTCCTCCGTGGCATCCAAATAGCAAGCATCAGCGTAGTCGATCAATGGACGGATCAGAGACTGCATAAGGTTGATCCTCGTTTTCAGAGGTAGAAGAGACTGGAGACGCTTCAGCGAATGCAAAGAGAAATGAACTCTACGACTGATCTCGTTCACCTGTTCACCCCACGAAAGGTTAGAGTTAATAAACACGCCCAGATTCTTGGCAACATCAGTGTAAGGGATAACATTGCCATTTAGGATCAAAGGATCAAGGGCAGAGATGCTCAATGCGTTGCGGTAAAACCTACCCCCAATTATCATAGCCTTGGACTTGAGGGGGTTGATTTGCAGGCCAAAGGATTTGGCCCACTCATCGACCCCACTCAGGTCACGGTTCATGGCTTCAATTGCAGAGTCGACCTCTGACAGCTTGAAATGACGGTAAAGCTGCAAGTCGTCTGCGTAGAGGTGGAAATTAGAAGTGATAACCATGGCAACGGTGTTAATAAAAATGGAAAAAAGAACTGGAGAAAGGACACCACCCTGAGGCACGCCAGCAGCGAGGTCACACCAATCGGAAAAGGTATCCTCTAGGCGAACCCGCTGACGGCGGCCCCGGAGATAGGAGTTGATCCAGGATAAGGAAGAAGAGGAGAAATTGTTGGACTTAAGGATACCCAACAGGACATCAAAATCTACGGAATTGAAGGCGGAACTGAAGTCCAACAGAACAAGAAGAGTGAGAGATTTATTATCCATGGCCCAGCGAATGTCATCTGTAACTTTGAGCAAAGCTGTGACGGTGCTGTGACCAGGACGAAAACCTGACTGGAAGGAGGAAATGAGATTATTACTGGATAAATAGGCCGTTAGTTGTTTGTGAACAATATGTTCCATGACCTTGGAAAGAAAAGGGAGAATAGAAATAGGTCTATAGTGAGAGGGAACAGAAGGTTTGTTTATTTTAGGCAGGGGAATAACGTGAGCCATTTTCCAGGCAGTAGGGAAAGAA